AGCGACCTACACCCTGCCCTACACCCTGCGGGGAGAGGAGGTCTCCCACCCCAGATGGAAGACAGACCAGGGCCTGCTCTAGGGTCCCGACTGCAACGAGGAAGAGCCTGACCGCAAATCCACACCCACAGGGAGAGAGAGGGTGGCCGCTGGGGCAGCGCTGACATCTCAGTAGAGGGACCAAGAGGGGGCTCTTCCCCACCGGGATGGGGGTACAGCCATGTCTGTCAGCCTTGGGGTCCTGGTGAGAGAGTGGAGCAGCCTGCCCCCTTTCTCACCTCACCAATGACAGGGCCCACTGCCCACTTCCAGGAGTGGAGGGGAGATGCAGCAAAAGACACTTTAAAGTTCACAATTCAGCCCAGCTGGCGTGGCTCAGTGGTTGAGCATCGACCTATGAACAGGAGGTCATGGTTCAATTCCTGGTCAGGGCACATGCCTGGGTTGCGGGCTTGATCCCCAGTGGGGGTGCATGTAGGAGGCAACCAATCAATGATTCTCTCTCACCGTTGATGTTTCTATCTCTCCCTCTCCCTTCTTCTCTGAAATCAATAAAATATATTTTAAAAAATAAAATAGTACAAAAGTCAGTGGATTAAGAGGCTCCAGTGTGTGGGACCATCACCACTATCTGGTTCCAGAACCCTTTCATTAAGCAGCCACCCCCTCCTGACCCCCAGCCCCTGGCGACCACCCATCTGCTTCCCCTCGTGCAGATCTGCCTGCTCTGGGCATTTCCTAGGAGTGGAACCATTCAGTGTTTGTCCTTTTGAGTCGGGCGTCTTCCCCACAGCACCATGTTTTCGGGGTTTAACAAAGAAAAACGCAGGACACCTAGTTCAGTTGGAATTTCAGATAAACCACAAGCAAATTTTTAGTACAAGTATATCTCAGATATTGCAATGGACAAACTTATACTGAGAAGTTGCATGGTTTGTCTGAAGTTCCCATTGCTCAGGGAACCCGCATTTCATCCTTCGACCCTCCCTGTCAGGTCTCTGTTACCTGCAGACCACGCGATGCCCTGACGCCTCTTGTAAGCACCTGAGCTTCCCTCACCCCGTGGTCAGAGTGCGTCACAAGCAGCACCTGGTCAGGAAACGCCACCTGAAGCCTCCAGCCCACCCTTGAGCTCCAGCTCAACCTTTTTCCTCCCCACGCCCACCCCCCAGCCCCGAGGCCCCAGGCCCTGAGGGTTCCAGAGCACAGAGGGCAGAGCAGGGGAGCCGCAATCCCGGCCGCGTCCACACGGGGCAGCTATCTGGGGGCAATCACACACAGAGGGGAAGGGAGGGGCCTGCACACAATGAGCGCCTGCTGCATGCTCTCAGTGAGTCACCTTCAAAACAATCCCAAAAGATAAGCATTATTATTTTAAAATACCATCTTCACTGCAGCGATGAGAACCTCTGGATAGACTGAATGAAAGAGCTGAAGACCCTTTACTACCTAAGCCAGGTGACACTCCAACCCTGTTTCCTCATCCCTAGGGAGGGATGGTGACAGCCGCCTGGCCCTCTGCAGGTGCCAGGACTCAGAATGTGCGTCCTCCTGAAGCCGGGCACGGGCGTGACCTGCTGCTGTTGTTCCTACTTCCACGTTCCAATCGCCCATTTAAACAATAATCTCCAGGACACAACTAAACACACAACGCAAGGGCAAAAGACACGGAACGGGAAAGAACCTGTCTCTGATCACTCGCCAGGACTCAGAATGTGCGTCCTCCTGAAGCCGGGCATGGGCGTGACCTGCTGCTATTGTTCCTACTTCCACGCTCCAATCGCCCATTTAAACACTAATCTCCAGGACACAACTAAACACACTTACAACGCAAGGGCAAAAGACAGGGAACGGGAAAGAACCTGTCTCTGATCACTAAGAAAGCTCGCTGCCTTCAGGGACGGCTGCAGACAGTCCTCCTTGAACTTGGGACACACGGGATGGATTGCTAGTCGAGAGGGTGACGCTGGCTAACCCAGGTTTCCTCAACACCGGAGGCAGCCCAGTGGCTGGAAATAGGCCCTGTGGTGTGGACACCGAGGACGGAGACGCTGGCTGGGATGTGAGCCAATCTCAGCTCTGAAAGCCAACACATATAGAAACAGATATTCTGATTCCCTCTGGAAAGCGGTTTCTAAAGAGGAGTTTGGCTGGGCGGCTATAGACACGGAGGGAGAGGAAAGGCGCTGAGAGCCCGGCACTCAGGAGAGGGTGGGGACGGGGACCGGCCCTTCCTGCCACATCCTCAGGGCCAGTGCTCATCGGAGCAGGGGTCCCCGTGAGGATTGGGCTGTTCCGACGGGTGGACCCCTCCGTCGGATGCTCCTTGCTCAGCCCCCGCAGGCCAGGGTGCTCTGTGTCTCATGATGGACTGGGAAAGGGTCCCGAGAGAGACAGAACCTGATGGGAAAAGACCACGTTTCTGAAGGTCTGCCCTCTGCTCAGGGGTCTCCTCGGCCCTCTCAGCAGATCCCAGCGAGTCGTCCAAGACGAAGCAGAGGCCAAGGTCACCGGGGACAGACAGAGCCAGAAGGCCTCAGAGAGCAGTGGATCCCCTAGGCCAGTGGTTCTCAACCTTCCTAATGCCGCGACCCTTGAATACAGTTCCTCATGTTGTGGTGACCCCAATTTCATTGTTACAAATTGAACATAATTAAAGCATAGTGATTAATCACAAAAACAATATGTAATTATATATGTGTTTTCCAATGGTCTTAGGCGACCCCTGTGAAAGGGTTGTTCGACCCCCAAAGGGGTCGCGACCCACAGGTTGAGAACTGCTGCCCTAGGCCCTTGTGGGTGGGAGACCCAGCCTGGAATCCTCAGGGAACACCCCCTCCCCCGTCACAACCTGGAGGAGGAGAGCCGATGGTGCCTCTGATGACCTGAGGGACCTGGGACACATCCACACCTTCTCTGGGTCACTTTCCCTGTTTGCTTAAAAGGGAGCAGAAATCGGAACTTTGGAGGATCCTAGAAGATAGAAGACCACAAAGACCCCGTGTGAGAGCTAGGCCCTGGGGCTTCTATTTGGGTCCTAATTGCTTAACCTCCTTATAATTAGGGAGCAATTCTTTTCCTTTGTGATTGCACCCAGATAAAATTACACAGTGCCACTGATCAGACGCCTCCTGCACACCCCCCACTGGGGACCAAGCCCGCAACCCGGGCATGTGCCTGCTGTCCAGATAGCAAAAGAGTTTATGCCACCCCAACCGCCTAAAACCAGAATAGCCAGAGCGGGGTCCCGGCAGGTACTCCTTCAGGAGCCTGAAAGTGGGGAGCTTTCTCAGGCCCACCCGTTCTCAGGCCCACGCACAATACCACCTGTGTGGGCAGCCTCCTCCCACCTGGTCTGAAGCCAGCAGGCCCCAAAGCATCGAGGGCAGACTGGGCCACGAGTTAGGCATGGGCTTCGGCACCCACGGGATGTCTTCACTTCCCTCCCAAGAGCCCAGGTGAGGTTCTAGAAGCCTGTCCGCTCGCAGTGGAAATCAACACTCTGCCAGCGATGGCATGTCCCTGTTCTGACTGGTGCTCTCATCCCCGGAGCCCATCTAGATGCCCACCATGGGGACTGGGGGGTTTCTGATGGCCAGAAGTCTGGGGCCATAGCAACTCAGCACGGGTGGAACTGGGGGCCCATTCACTGGGACCCCTGCCATCACCAGGAGCCCCTGCCAGGGAAATGGGGACACTCCCATGTTGCCTGCTGGGGGTGCCAGGTTCCCCTAACTCCTGCCCGACCCTTTCCAGCTGGGTGTCCCCGCCTCAGCCTCCCCCCCAGCAGCCGCATGCCCTGCAGATGGGTCTACATTCCTGGTCTGTACTCCTTCCATGCCCACAGCCAGCACGTAGCTGGCTACAAGCTCAGACAACAGTGGACAAATAAATGCGTGATTAAGGCAAAAACGAACAAGTCTATTAAAAAACAGTTGTGACTCTTGAGAACAGTCATGGCTTTTTAAATCAATAATCATGGGTTAATTTAATAATAGAAACTAAAAAACGAAGACCCTCCATGCTTTCCATTGACAGTATTTGAATTTAAATGAAATGAAATTTCTGGACTAATTTCAGGGCTGATGGATCCCCACTTTATTCCGGCCTCCTCCTTAACAGCTGTGACAACTTGGGCTAAACAGTAATTCTGCCAAAGCGTGTGTTTGGTCAGAGGGTTTCGGTGAGGCCTCTCTCCTTCACCCTCATACCGTGGCCACAGAGATGTGACCCCAGTGGGAAGCGAGGCCCCAGGCAGGGGCAGTGGTGGTGGTGGGGGGAGGCCCCTGAGTCCCTGCTGCAGGTCACCACCCACCTGGCCCATGTGGCAGGCTCAGACCCACCCTCCAGCCAACACTGCACTGCTCTGTGGGCAACAGGGGCTGCAACCAGGATTGGGGGGACAGATCAGCCCAGCCCCCACTCTCATGGAGCTTGCATTCTTAGGGGGAGGCAAACAAAAGCCATAGTTATAATCTGTGGTTAGTGCCATAAACAAAACAAATAGGAGCTAAACAAACAAACAAACAAAACAGAGCAGGGGAGCCTCCTTCCGAGGGTTCGCCGTCACCTGTCCAACATCCATTCCCCCTCCTCCCTGGAGCACAATCTCAGTGTTGGCGCTGCAGCCACAAGCCCAGCTTTGAAAACGTTCCTCAGCGGCCCTCACAGTGGGGTTTGCCAACTCCAAGGCAGGGGAGGGGGGAAGGGGGGGAGGAGAGAGATATAAATGATGGCCTGAGACTCTAGTGCCGGGCTGACCAGCAGGCCCTGAGCGACGGATGAACAGATTGCTCTCACACACGTTTCTGTGAAAGAGAGGCTAAGGCACTACCTGGCTATCGCCGCCAAGTAGCCCCGTTCACCTGCCTCCGTTGGCTTTTATTGTCACAACAGCTTGAACTAAAATTAACTTCTAGATACAATCAGCAGGGTAAGTATCCTTGAGAAATAGATGCTTCTACAAGGTCGGGTCTAAAGACTAAACAGAGAGATTCTAGCAAAACACCCAGGAGATCGGACTTGTTTGGAAAAGTCAAGGTCAGACCTGCCGCCTTCGGCAAGATTCCCCCAGAGGCCCGCGACCTTTCGGAGAATCCTCCTTACAGACTTTCCAACCAAGTCCCGTGCTTCCCCACACTCTAGAAAGTTCCTTCACGAGGAACCCGGCTGAGAGTGCACTCTCCCCCCTCCATTCTCCTTCCTCCCGCCTGGGATATGGTTATGATGGCTGGAGCTCCAGGGGCCATTTTGTGACGTGAAGTGACCTTCCCAAACAGTGTTGGGGAAGCTCAAGTTTAAACAGCAGGTAAGTCCTAAAGCCAAGCACTGGACTTTTAATTCTAAAACCTGTGTTCCTCACCCTCTCCAACTCTTCCCTCTCACACACACACAGGGAAGACGGCAAACAAGGGAAGCCTTCTCGTGTCAGGGGGGTTCCTGAGGGACCGAGGCCCCTCTGGATGCAGGGAAGGTACCTGCCCAGGTGCGCTTGGCTCCAGATAGAGAGAGCAGATACACCAGATGACAGCAGTGCCTGTTCTACTGACGGCTCTAAAATCACATCCTCACTTCTTCTCTGTGGCTGCAGCAGATAAAATTACACAGTGCCAGCAACTTATAAATAGAAGAAAAATAAGTGAGGAGAAAGGAGCAGATGAAGCTGTAAGCCACCAGGAGACACCAGAGGGTGGAATTTGCTTCGCTGGCTTTTGCTTTGTTTTGTTTTCCGTTTGCCAGCCCGGTGGCTGGAATTCTCTGTGTCCGGCATCTGCTGTGTGGTCCCCGGTGAGTCTCGGGCTCCATCCCTCTCTCATGCCAGCTAAACCCGAGGCGAAAACGCAGAGCCTCACGCTCTGGAATCTCACCTGCACTGTGACGTCTGCTGGGGACGCTGAGTCCAGACAGTGAGACACAAATCAGGAGACATCTGGTCACCTGGATGGTCTGCATCTGGCAGACGCCACATTCCTGTAGAGGAGGCAGGCGGGGCCCACAGAGAGAGGCCCAGGAAGCTCCTCCCGAGCGAGAGGGCAGTGGAACACCAGATCCCGCCGACAGCAGCAAAGGGGTGTGCCCTCCCCCCACTCGGCCTCTGTCATCAGCGCTTCGGGTGCTCATGCTCCTTAGCAAGCACAGTCGACAGGAAACACTGGCAAAATGAAGAAAAGATTAAAAATAAGAGCCGCCCAACCCATGGGGCTCAGTGGTTGAGCATTGACCTATGAACCAGGAAGTCATGGTTCCATCCCCAGTCAGGTCACATGCCCGGGTTGTGGGCTCAATCCCCCAGTAGGGGGTGTGCAAGAGGCAGCCAATCAATGACTCTCATCATTGATATTTCTATCTCTCTCTCCCTCTCCCTTCCTCTCTGAAATCAAAAAACTGTGGCACATCTACACACTGGAAGACTACGCTGCTGTAAAAAGGAAGGAACTCCTACCATTTGCAACAGCATGGATGGACGCCGGAAGCTAATTCCAGCAGGTCAGCAGGGCTGAATCATCTGGGAATGGCTGAGGGCATTTTCCCAAACCTGAAAAGGATGCATAAATGATTGCTTGCTGCCAGTCAGCTGAGGGCATTTCAATCTACATGTTATTGCCTCCTGCTGGCCAAACACCTGAACAGCTGAAGGCAGTTCCTCCAATCTGACAATGGATGCTGTATACTAAACCCTGGCCTTTGATATGCATATCTACCTTGCTTTAGGACAAGTTGTGTTAATAAAAAGCAAGGGGTCCAGAGAGACAGGGGAACTTGGTTTCTTTAGCTAAGTCTTCTCTGGCTCCCCAAAATGCCTCCCAAAATTATGTTTCGTCTCTGGACTCTTGATTAATTTACACACAGCGCCTTCTCCAGATTCCTGAACCCTTTCTAGATGCTGGATTAAGACCTCCGGCGTTAGATGGACCTGGAGAGCATTATGCTAAGTGAAATAAGCCAGTCAGAGAAAAATAAATACCCCACGATCTCACTCATTTGTGGAATATAATGAACAACATAAACTGATGAACAAAAACAGATCCAGAGACAGAGAAGCATGGATCAGACCGTCAAACCTCAGAGGGAAGGCAGGGGAGGGTGGGGGGGAAGAGGGAGAGATCAACCAAAGGACTTGTATGCACGCACATAAGCCCAACCAATGGACACAGACACTAGAGGGTTGAGGGCACAATTGGGGGGCAGGGAGGGACAATGGGGAGATAAGGACACATATGAAATACCTTAATCAATAAAGAATAAATAAATAAATGGGAAAAATTTTAGAAAGCAATAAAAATAAAAAATAAATAAAGGAGCCAGTGTACTGTCTCTGGAGCTGCCAGACTTCTCGAATGTGCAAGAAGCGCAGCTGTGATCACATTGGATGGCGTTGTTCTGCGGCCCTGGAGACAGAGCGGACAGCAGATGACACGCTGGGAGCCCGGAAAGGCGAGGCAGTGTCACCCCGTGGGCTCATCTTCCTGTGAGCACCCCAATCTCTGGCCAGGAGACATCTGGCGGGAGCAAGTCTCCAGCAGTCAGGCCCGTGTCCTGGTCTGCACGTTCCTGGGCAGGTGGGAAAGCCGGTGGGGCCGACATCACCGGCACAGGGCATCTGTCCTGGCCTGGCTGCCGCTGTCTTTGTTTCATTGTTAAACTTTTTATCTTGAGATAATAGTCAATTCCCACGCAGTTGTAAGAAATAACACAGAGATGGGGTGGGGGGGGGGGCGGGCTAGAGGAGATCAATGGGGGAAAATGGGGACATATGTAATACTTTCAACAATAAAGATTTTTTTAAAAAGAAAAGAAATAACACAGAAAGATGCTTGACTCAGTTTCCCTAATGGCAACACCTTGCAAAACAGCAGCAGTACAGCCTGGCCGTTGTGGCTCAGAGGTTGAGCATCAACCTATGAATCAGGAAGTCATGGTTCAATTCCCAGTCAAGGCACACGCCCAGGTTGTGGGCTCCATCCCCAGTGGGAGGTACAGGGGAGGCAGCCGATTGATGATTCTCTCTCATCATTGATGTTTCTATCTCTCTCTCTCTCCCTTCCTCTTTGAGATCAATATATATATATACTAGTAGCCCGGTGCACGAAATTCATGCACTGGGGTAGGGGGGGAGAAGGGGCCCCTCAGTCTGGCCTTCACCCTCTCCAATCTGAGACCCCTCAGGGAATGTCCAACTACCTGTTTGTGCCCACACTTTTAACAGATAACAGCTCCATTGTTGTTCCTTTCTTATGCTTAAAACCATTGGAATTAGTAGGTATTCAAAGTGTGTATACATTTTGGGGGGACACCCTGTATATCTCTAGTCAGTGGTGAAAGAAACCAACAGCAGATTTGGAACCCCCAGACAGGGAACCTTGCTCATTCCCCACATGTCTCCCCACTTCACTTTCCACCTTCGTGGGCAGCAGGAGAATCAA